CAAAAAAGTTTGAGGAAAAAATAAAATCTGCTATTAAAATTTAGGAGATAATTAGTTGTAGTAAAATGCAGAGACTCGCAACGCTCTTCTCAGATGGGCTGGTTACTGAGGTGCTTAGAGGCACTTTCTTCCCTGAAGAAGTAATAAGAAAAAAACCTGTCTTGCTTATGAGATGCAGGGACTGGAACAAGATTTGAATAAAAGAATAAAAAAAAAAGAAAAAGCAGAGATCATGCAGCATGCAAGCCAGGCAAAGTTTAAACCAGTCAATCGTTCATAGTTTTGGTAGCCTGAATAGCTTTGTTCCTGCGGAGCACTGTTGAGTGAACCGAACTGAAGACAGGGAATCAGGGACCCGGCATGCTAATCTGGACCCTGCCACTGGCTGCCTTTGTAGCCTTGGCCAAGTCACTTGAGCGCTCTGCCACCTCCTCCTCAGCTGGACAGGGTGTGACCGACCCACTGTACACAGTGGAAGGGTTTTTTTTTTGGCGGGGGGGAGGGGGGGGGTTGTTTGTTTTTTTAAACACAAAACTTGTACAGTGCTTATACCGAAGTGCTGGACAAGTATCAAGGGAGAAAAGTCTCTCTCTCAAAAGAAGCCATTGCAGGCTTGCACGCTGATCAGCACTCTGGCAACAGCCTGCATTTCAGAGGTGGGCAATTATTTTGGGCCGAGGGCCACTTACTGAGTTTTGGCAAGCCATCGAGGGCCGCATGACAGGCAGCCAGGGCAGATTAATATTAATTTTCTAAATTTTTTAGGGGCCCCGCGGGCTGGATAGAATGGCCTGGTGGGCCGCATCCGGCCCACGGGCCACGTTTTGCCTGCCCCTTTAGGAGAACGGTGAATGGAACAGCTAACCGAGCACCGTGCACTACATAACTAGCCAGACTTGCTGCTGCTCTAGTAGTTTCCTACCTTCACCCGGTTTTACTACATCCCCGTGGCCGCCTGACTGCCTGCATTGTCTGCCACTGCGTGACGTCACCCCGCAACTCCAACAAATTCCTGGGCCGGGAACCTTACAATAGGCCTCTTTTTTTTGCCAACTAGAAATCATTCCTCCCCCCATTAAACCCCCCCGCTCAAACTATGTCTTGTTAGATTAAAGAAAGAGAAAGCATCTGCAAAACAAGCTGGGTGCAACACAAATTAATTCCTCCTTGGGTTAGCTTTCCTGACTTCCAAAACCATGGCGAGGCAGCTGCTGTAGGAAGCACTCTGCAAACACTGTTGCAGCAAAGGATGACTAATCTCATACATGGGTATAAATTCCAGTTAGAGAAGGAGTTCAATGGGCTCAAAACTTCCTTCACCCTATTCAGATGGTGCCTGCAAACTTTCTCTTGGACGTCTGAGTGGTTCAGTCCCATGGGTGCAGCTTCCCAGGATTCCTGGGGAAACGTTCCCAAAGTCACGCCCTGCTATATCTTTTAAAAATGAGCACCTTTGGGATGGAGACAGCCCAGAAAGCTCTTCTTTAATAATGTAACTCTTTATGAAAGTAATAATTATAAAGGAATAACGCAGGCAAAAAGCTCACATGCAAAGCTCTTCTTGTAGAAATGATTCCGAGTGTCAACATGAAGGCCTGAATATTAAAGTTGAACACAAGCCTCCATTTATTGTATGTAAATAGTTTCAGCATCCAAGATTTCTCTCTCCGTCTCTCTTGCTTTGTTTTACTGAATGTTGTAATAAAACCACCCCGCATAAGACAAAGCCAGAAATATAGGAAACTATGACAAAAGTGGAAAATCCACCAGCATCCAAGACTGCATTGTAAGTCACTGGCATATGCAACTCATTTTCTAGTTAAGCAATTCTCCCTTGGGACACACAGTCTGCAGTGCACATGCAGGATCAGATTTCATGAGCAGTTGTAGGAAAATGCAAGCCCTGTGCATTTGCAAGTCAGAACTAGTAAGGCAGGAGCTGCCTGGCTATCTTCACTTCTTTTTCCTGCGAGAGGATTTTTGCTGATAAGAAACATTTGTTAGGATGCATAGCTGAAAGAACAGCAAGGAGGAGACCCTGCTACACAGCAGCTCCCTACAAGTAGCCCTTGGTTTTATCTCTATTAGCTAGCTTCATTTAGGTTACAACCCATTTACAATTCATGTTTAAAGTGACTCACGGTCTCAGCGCCCTTAGATAGCTGAAGATGCAATCAAAGTAGAGAGGGAGAGAAAAAAAAGCATTTAAAAACCAACACATTCTGCATTTGTCACAATGGCTTTTCCTGGGGTTGGTGCCATCTAGCCAATCCAAATTAGTCTTCTTTGGGTTGGTGCCATCTAGCCAATCCAAATTAGTTTCTCTTTTTATGGGTTTTGTCTGGCTGTCGATTTTTTGTTAAGAAAACTGAGAAATCCAGCGTCCTGCTATTGTGGAACTGTCAGAGAGCATTCGCGACATCCCTGAAGCTTTGAGCACGTTACAGCGCATATCCACCCAGCTCAAACGCACGTCACTAACACGAGCCACGGAAATACTTTTACAGTCTAATCGCAAGCCAGAATTGCCCTCTGTAGCACAACTATCCCTAAGCCAACCCGTGCAAAGAGTTTGCCCGATGCCCAGGAGACGGCTGATTTTCAGCCTCTATAATAGTCGATCCTTACCTTGATCTGAGTTGCATCCCCTTTCTCAAACATCATCTTCAGTTTGTTTAGCGGGACGCTATATTTCTCTATCTTCCCTGAAGAGTCTGGGTTTTCGCTGGCCTCGGGCTTTCCTACTTCTTGTCTGGATTCTCTTAGACAATTTTCCATGTTATCACTCTCCAGCGAGTGGCTTTTAAGATCTTCGCGGTCAGCACCGGGACACCGCACCTGGCCGACGGCTCCAGAAGGGGCCCGGGGTTGAGATGTAGCACTGACCCCCGAGACGTGATCAGCTTCTGCTAGAGAAGCCGGGCGGCTTTCGACTCTGACGCCGGTGACCTTCTGCCTAACCTCAGCACAGCTGCTTCGCGGAGCTTCCTTCCAAGACTCGGTTCCCAGCGCTGGATTCTCCCACTTCTTCTTTAACGCGCTCAGGGTCCCCCTTTTAAAATGAGGGGGAAGGCTGTCTGTGGTCTAAAAAGAACAAGTTAATGCCAGTTATAAATGGCCCGATGAAGCATTACACCACTTCCTTTCCGCACGAAAGGAAGCTAAAGGCGCGATGCTGAGCTGAGCTTGCTGCTTTTCAGACAGCTGTGAATAGTTACAACTGTGCCACATGGAGAAAGCATCCAGGATAGGGGAGGAAGGAGGGTGGGGGGAGAAGACAGAAAAAAAAAGTTAGGAGCTGAAGCAGGAAGTGATAAAACAGGGCGGCCTTATAAGGGAAAAAAAAGGGAGTCCAAGTCTAATGAGAATTAAATGAGACACAAAGGCTTGAATCGACATGTTTGCTCTACTTGTTTCTTTGTTTCCAGCAAAAGGAAATAAAATCCACGCCTTAACAAGCTGCAGACTTATCTTAACAATGGGGAGAAGCAGGCAGGCGAGAGAGGAGCGCTATGCCGAGCGCCGTGATGATTCCCAGCCGCTCCGCAAGACAAGCAGGAGAACAATTTGTAGGTTGTTCCAAAAAACTCAAGTTGCTTTCCAAAGCCACCGCTGCTTTGAACTCGTGTTCTGCTACAAGTTACCGGTAGCACTTTAATACCAACTGTATTCATTTTAATAACAAAAAAACCCAAAACACTGTCTAGTTCCTTATTAGACCACCCTATGTAAGGCTTCAGGTGAGACCGCTGTTACACACATCTGATCAATTTGAGCAATACTGAAACTAACCCTTCCATTCGAGACAAGAGGTTGCAGTTACCAGATGGCACATCCTCGCACCTTGAGAGACGTTCCCCTAGCCCTGTAGCATCACAACGCATTAGGCACCTACAGCAGTGCTGTCCCCAGATTCAAAGGCTTTAAACCTATTTCTGCTCAGCACGGGCTACCCCACACCCAGACACCAGACCACCTTGCGTTCAGCCACTTACAGTCTAATACCTGCCAATGCTGCATTTTTTTCTAGTCATTCCTCAGGGATCCTGCCATGCCTGAAACAAACGGCAAGCGGAACAGGTCTGTAAAGCTGATGGGAATTAAAGAGGATTAGCAGCTATATTGGGCTTTAAGTCCCTCACCCTATTACTCTCCCGGTCACATTTTGAATGCTGCTGGGCAAATTAGCTAGCATGCACCTAAGCTTGGAGAAGATCAGTTAGTTTGATGCATTTAAAAGCACTGAAGGTATAGGGCAAATGGAAAAAAATGCAGCCAAAGTGGCAGAAAACTACTATGCAGAGCAGAGAGAATTAGATGCTGAAGGTCTTGCAGACTTGGACACCAGGTGTGCTGCTAAATGCAGAGCTGTGGCACAGACATCTGTGCTTAGTCACTGCTCTGCCCTGCCCCTTTCACTGACGTAAGAGCTGAGTAGGGAGCTGGCATTTTCCCCCTATTATCTCCACTGAGTCAGAGGTCTCCTATTTAAAGAATAGGTTTGCTTTAAACACCATTTTAGCTAAGAATGACTGACCCACAAGACAATCCATACTAATGGAGGACTGACAACAGAACAACCTCACTCCTTTCTCTCTCAGCTCCCACCTTTCTATGTCCTCTGTGGCTCAAGGACCAGCAGAGCTTATTAAATTGGCCACAGTTGATAGCAGCCATATTAACGATCAGTTCTCCAAGCCCACCTGGATGATGGAGGTGGGACCTCTCCCCAGCAGGCTGCTTGTTCTGCTAGCCTTCATTATCTGTTAGGCAATCAGAAGCAGGACAGAACATGCTGAATGAAGTGCTGATCAGGGCACCGGAAAGGAACAAGTAAGTTTGCATCTGTGATTTTGCCTCTGCTCCAAAGATCCTGAGTTAAAGGTGCTATATCAAACCAATGTCATGCTTGTGAGGATGTCTCCACGATATAAAACACACGTAGAGAGAGACCTTAACCACAACTCCAGAGCTGGATGCAATGTGAGCCACTGAAGCTTAACATTCAAATGCTGCAGTTTGAAACTACTTCCAGGAAAAGGTTTTAGAACTGCTAACCGCATGGTTATACCAGTATCTCGCAGCGGAGACATTTGAATTCTTGTAGACTTGTTTCCAAGAAGGATCCCCCTAATGCACTCTGCACTTAGAAAAGGGAATAGCATTGATTAACGTTCCTGGAATCGGATAGCTCCCTTTTAAGCTGAAAAGTTTACTTTAGAAATGAGGAAACGAGTACAGACGGCACAGCAGCTTCAAGCTAAGAGTAGGTATTGGCATTTGGTGGTAGAAGTCACTTGACAAGTCACTTGACTTCCTTGGGCTTCGGTCAACCCTGAGGAGGCAGAACGGGGATAAGTCAAAAGGAGGACTTCAGTGAAAGGCAGAAAAGCCAAATTCTCCTGCAAAGAAAGTGCAAAGCAAAGCACATGAATAGTTCAGCTACTCTCAAACACATCAGATACAGGAGAGGTAAGCATGGTGGGCCATCTGCTGCTGTTCACTTTATAAAGCCTGTAAATACTTACATTTCTTTTCTTTTCTGCGGTAGCTTCTTCAGCTGCCTTCTGGTACCTTTTGGGGGAAGGAAAAAAAAACAACACACCACTTATCTAGAATTCAAATCCCAGGAGCGCATTTACCCTGAAGCAAGGACACTACATACTTTTCAGCCCCAACAGACACAACAAAAATGTAAGTCTTAACACTTGCAGATAAGGACTGGTTGCGCATTGCGGGAAGCGGTAGAAGTCAGAAAGTATATAAGCAATGCAAAATGTCACAAGGAAGATTTCTTTTAAGCAATGTAACTGAATTATGAGAGATTTAAAAGTCATTAATTAATGAAGCCATTCAAAAGAAAAAGAAAAAAAGTCTGGCAGGTGTCCCATACTTTACTATAGTAAACCTAAACCTGAAAAGAGCTCACTGGGAACCATGGTCTTTGGAAACCTTGGTCTTTGGTTGCAGAAAGCATGCTTTATTTGTGTTTTCTTTTAAAAGAAGTCACAAATGTGTCAGAAAGTTACTGTACTTAAGACTTTAAGACTTGTGCTTCAGAAGAAGGGGAAGCCTGTTAGCCTGGTTTTGATTTGGACGAGCGAGTGTTTTGCCTCAGTTTCTCACTGGATGGTCCAGCAGTCACATGCCTTTGTATCATTAAGGGAATGAAATGCCAATTAGACCCACCTTTGTTGAATGAGAGATGCTTAAGTGATCACAAAACAGATGCTTTATGTTCTTCCTTGGATTCTAAACCATCCTATCGTTTGATGGCCTCCAAATGTCACAATGAGGAGGTTTCAGGGTTTTTGAGGGTATTTTTAAATTTTTTGCTGAAACTACAACCCTATTTGCTGATAAAGTTGGCTTCAGAAATAAAACCCTTAAGTTATATCTGACCAGTGAAACACTAGCAAACTTGAAGGGACATCGCAAACTAAAACTGCTATAGTCTCTTCCTATGCCTATTGCACGTTTAGTGCCCCAGCCCACTATAGGAAGCAAATCAAACTTCCAGCCTGCAGATAACAGATTATCTATTTCCAGATCTGGTAGCAGTCCATTTGTATATCTTATGCACAGGTGGTTCCTACACAGCATCCAGCCTCCCTTATTAGCCTGAGCAGCAAAGAGGTGCTGGTCTCGCCTACCACCGACCACCTCTTCACAAGCTGCGCTCATCACAGCTTCCATTCTGAGCCGTGGAAGCCAGCCAGCCAAATTCCTGCCATTTACTTAACTGCATTATAAAGGATTTCAGGCAATCTCGGCCATACGGCATTACAAACTTTCCGAGTTTGTGCTCCTGCGATGGCTCCTCTACAGTAGCACAGTAAGGCGCAGGAATGAGGACGCCAACAAAATGGGGAGGAGGGCGGGGAAGATGTTCTAGTATTGCTCTACCAGGGGCGGGCAATTATTTTGGGTGGAGGGCCGCTTACTGAGTTTTGGCAAGCCAGCAAGGGCCACATGACAGGCAGCCAGGGGCAGATAAATATTAATTGTCTAAATTTTTTAGGGGCCCCATGGGCCAGGTAGAATGGCCTGATGGGCTGCATTTTGCCCACCCCTGTGTCTACCCCTTACTGGAGGCAGATTATACTACCTTAGCATTGCAGCCGAGGGTGGCCCCTTAAGCAAGTTGGCTTAGCTGCACCAGTGGCGACTAACGGGGCGCGTCCCAGGCAATGGCTCTGATGCCAGAGACTGTGCAGCAGCCCACAGGTCACCTGTTTCAGAGCTATAAAAAAAGGCTAACAAGCAGCTCAGCTGAGAGCCTGATCCTTGGAGGAAGTTAGCTTCTCCTAAAAGGATCAGCCGTGGTTGAGTTGCTTATGTTGGCTTGTTCAGTTTTGAGGGAAAAAAGCACCAATTCTAATGCTGATGCTTTGGAGAGCTTTATTTGATGCTCTGGCAGGATAGTCGCCCCACTGGCTTACACTGCGGTGCCCAAAGGTTCCTCTCTCGCTGTCGCTGAAGTGTGCAGGGTAACGCCTGCTGTACACTTCCACAAAGCTAGCTTCAGTTGCAATGCAGAGCATCACAGAAATATTTTTCTGTGCAGGAGCTCTAGGTTATCCAAAGCTGAGTTGAACTGTGTAGACTGTTGGTTTGGGGGGTTTTTTTTAAAAGGAAGAAGAATATAATCAGTCTGTAGAAACGTGGGCAAAATTCAGCACTGTGCATAAGGGCGCAATTTCACCAGAATGAAGGGAATACCAGCAGAAAGGTCAAATTGGAACAAAATTATCAAGAGCAGATTAGACAGGGGAAGGGAATAACAATCCCACTCTATTTCCAAACGTAGCGCTTATTTGCAGAAGATAATTTTATCTCTTCCACTTCATTTATTGCCACTTTTCTTGGACAGCCCCACTCCAACATTAGCAGTGAATAAAGGGCATCTATTTCTGAAATAGCGGTTTCAATGTCTTTGTTGGCAAGCGTATCTCTTTGCTGTCTAAAGGAGCGAGCTTGAAGTCTTGGCTACTAGGCAAGATGGTAACCTGAAAGGAAAATTAAGAATCTATAATCTAGCTCCCCTTCCCTTGCTTCCCTGGAGCAAGAGCATTCCCCTAACACACATGGTTTAAAGAGATTAGAGCCCTGTGGGGTTGTGGGGAGCCTATGTTAAATCACTCTACATTTCCCTAGACAAGCCTTTCCTGATAACCCTTTAAGTTTCTTACCAGGAAAATCCATCACCGGCAGCTGTCTGCACTTGGGCTTTTAATTACAGTTTTGATCCAAAGAGAAGAGTGTTGCCCACGCTGGTATACAGGAACTGGCAGGTCAGACCCGCCCAATGCATCTCATGCCAATCTGTAACGATCTGTTCCCGATGCAAAAAACTGTATGGGTGGGTGACAGCTGCTGTGCCCCATTGCCAGGGGCACAATACTGTGAGTCGGCTGATAAAGTGGTCCCTTCTGTTCTCAGACACAGCTGGTAACACTAATGAGGGCAACCAGAAATAGGTTGCTAATTCTTTTTCTGGGGGAAAAAAAGCAATTACCAAGCCTAAACAATGCCTGAGGTACAATGGAGAAGTATGCTAATGCATAGCGAAGAGGTTTTAATTGAATTTAAGGAAAAGCATATGGAACAGGTGCACGATAAGAGCCATCGGCTGCCAGGCTACGCGTGCTTTTTTTGGCCAGAAGTTGCACCGCACTTACTTGGAGAACCTCTCCACGAGGGCTGACGACTTGTTCTTGTTGACTAGAGAAAGCTCTTTGGCAGTGATCCTTAGCGACTGCGAAGCCCATTGTCTTCTGTTAAATGGAGAGGGCTCCATCTTGTGAACGTAGAAATACCTATCCAAAACAGAGCAGAGCAACGATCGATATGAAAATCGGATCCAAAAAAGGATGTTCCATTAAACGCTTAGAAGTGATCCGTCTCCCTCCAACAGTCACTGCCAGCGCACCATATCCACTGGGTTAAAAAGCTACCGCTTCCCTTAACGAAGTCTTTGAAACAGTCTCCCCAGCAAGGCATTAACCCCAGCAATAGTTAGCAGCACTCAAACAAGATCAGAACAGAAAAGGATGCTAACGCGACCCCCACCCCTGCAAGAGATCCATAGCTCCCCTTACACGGACGGGCTCCGGGAAGCCCAGTATGTCCTTTCCGTTTCTGGCTTCTACAACAACCCTGCCGACTTTTATGTAAGAAGGCTGGAGTTATGAAACCGAGGACTGGAATTCCTATGCAAACATTTCTCCTTTTCCCTCGTGGCGTTTTGTCTTAATGCAGCAGCCACTTCCTTTGCGAGCTGGGAAAAGGTCCCTGCTGGTGGAGACCGCTCTAAACTTTACCCTGCGGTAGCTATCAGTTACCTGAAGAAATACCTTTAAACACTGCGTACTGCTGTAAACTGGGACAGACTTTGTGCAGCTATTTAGCAGAGAGGCAGCCCAAACTAGGCCAGATTTGCACAAATCCAAGCAGTTTTCTTTTCTTCCCCCCTTGAATATATGCGACTAAAGGCAGCCCTTTAATAACACAGGCAGTATTTACCTCCTCTGTGTATTTATTGCTCCTCCTTTCTGTCCCTAACTCCCCAATATATATCTATCCCTCTCTCATAAAGTCTATTAATCATATTAGGCGCAGGACTTTCTGCTTTTAAGGCAAAATCTATTCCTGTCTATTGAGTGAATGACCCAATAAAACACAAACTGTTTCTTACAGGGCAATGGTTAGAAATATGAGCTTGTTCCATATTTTTCCACCAGTTATTTCCTGCATTTAGTTTGCTCTATTAACAAGTAATAACAAGTTGGTGTGCTGGCTCTCTGACTACACCTCTGTAGTTCTACACAGCTGGAGCCCTGGTCGCACTTTCAACTGAAGCCCCTCGTGAAAATCTGACGCATGACAGCACGCTCTCCAAAATGGAGAGACTTTCTTCCTCCGGCTCTTGTGAAAAGCCCCTCGGAATAGGAAAAAGGCTCATCAAAACGCCACGTTTTGCAAATGCACTCTTACTTATTTTTACTTCCTTGTTGGGAGGCACACACGTTGCAAGAACAGTAAATCCTAGTTACATTCCATCTTGACAGGTCTCAGGTCAAGCACTGAAGACTACACATTTAATGCAGAGTCTAAAGAGATGCATTAGACTTGCAGGCCAGATACCTTCCTAACCGCTTCAGCTTCAAGTACTGGGAAGGAGCAAACACCCCACCGGCAGCCACCATACCTGGTGACTCCAGGGAGGACACGGTTGTTCAGAGCAAGCCACTTGAGTTTCTAAAAGAGCTGGTCTCCCAGCAGACTCCTGTGAAAGGTCTGAGTAGTTCTGCCCAAGTCAGGAGTACATATCTGTAAATCAGTATCAAGATTATGGCTTGCCTAAGAAGTTTTGCTTTGACAAATTAAAAAAAAAAAAGGAAGTGGGACACAGCTGGACCTTCACAGAGCAGAAGGGACAGGGAGTGGGGGGAATGGAGAATAATAAGAGAGAAAAGGAGGGCAAGGAGTCACTATGTAGCTTTTATTTAACATTAACCTGAAAGCCAAAGCCAAAAAGGAAGGTTGATATCGTAGGATGCGGACACACATACTAAGTCAAAGGTGATTTAACTAAGTCAACTTAACTAAGTTGACTTAAATTAAGCCATGTTGGAGTGTACGCAGGTATGATATGGTCGCAGCCATCTCGTGAGCTAAATCAACTTACTAATGTGACACAAGATAACGCACCTTGGAAATGTATTATCTCGAGCTGCGTTTAAGTTAACCCTGTTCCACATACATCTGCATGCTCTGACAGTTAAATCAACTTAAAATTAAGCCAGCTTAACTGCCAGAAAGTTAGTGTGTGTGCACGCACCCATAGCGCCTTTGCAGAAACTTGCCCTGGAGCAGCTTACAATGCGAGGATGCTCACAGTTCACATCGATAAGTAAAACCCTTACTGACTTGTCGTATATGAAATCTAGAACCTAAATATACAAAGCTATTTCCAGAAAGATTAAACTGAACACATTAAAATGGCAAAGATGTTCTTCCCATGCCAATTACTAGAACTATTTTTAGTTCATTGAATTCAAGAGAGCGATGATTAGGATGACCAGAAAGATAGACAAGTTGGAGAGAATTCAGCATTACAGACAGCAATGATGGAACTGGAGAGGCTAACCTAAAAGGAAAGATAAACAGACCCAAATATGAATAGGTTATCCAAGATATTAACAGGAAATGAGATACCAGTCTACACCTCGGAAGGATGCATGCCGCAGAAGAAAGTACTGTTGGAAGCTGAAATATTAGATTCCAATATTAGATAACTACCTAGCTGGGGTTATTTGAACTTAAACTTAGTAGGGGTCATAAGAGCCCTGTATTCATTCCTGCCCAGGGTAGGGGGTCAGACTAGATGATCTGCTCGGGTCCCCTCCGACCCTACTTCTATGAATCTATAAATATATGAGTAGGTTAATTTTGTGTTGATCCCTTGTTACTAGTAGCAGCTGTCATTAGCCCAACCAAATGACAAGCATGGTCACTCTGACCCCCCATCTCCCACCGAATCATTAGAGTTTGACACTGAATGCTATTTTAAAAGAAACCGAGACCATACAAAAGGGGACCCAACAGTAAGGAACTTTGTTCTGTTAGAATATAATGCTAGCACTATATGAGAAGCAAAATATCTTTTATTGGATCCATTTTAGAGTTGGGAGACATGTCAGACAAACTTTTGGGCATAAAATGCCCTTCCTCGGGTCTGGGTAAGAAGAAATGGATTAGGTT